ACATGGGGATGTGAAGGGTCTGTGTTAGCCGTAAGTACAGCGTTAGACACTGACTTATATACAAAGAGGTAGCTCACACCTGTAATTCTGACACTCACAGGGATATGGCCCGAGGATTACAGGCTATTCTTTGAGGCTATTCTGGGCTATAGATAATCTTTGAAAACAAGCATGTAGCTGGGCATGGCGGTGCACACCTTTAATCCCAGCACTTGGGAGGGAAAGGCAGGCAGGTCTCTTGAGTTCCAGGCTACACAGAGAAACCCATCTCAGGGGAACAGCCAAAAAACAAAACCAGCAACAAACAACAACAAAAACCAAAGCAAACCAAAAGAAAGAAAGCTAAAACAGGGACTGGTTCCTGATATCAGGGAATTTGTATAGTCTCACTGTGGATTATTGTGTGATAGAGGAAGCTAGAAACCTGGGATTTGTAAATTTTTATAAGAGAATATCAAAGACACAAGTTAATAAACAGTTTGAATACCTGGACGTCACACACTGATGATATTTGTATTTTCTCTGATTTCACAGGCCTTACAGTCCTTTAGCTGATTACCCATTTTACCCACTCTAGACCAGTTAAGGAAGAAGTTACTTAATGGAGAGAAAAGGTCTATTATGGAGTAGGGTATGAACGTGCTATGATACTTGGGAAATCCCATCCTTCCCTAACCAAAGGTCAATGGTAAAAAAGTTATCTGATTTGACTCAGACTACCTCAGGTAGAGTTTATCAAGCTCAATGAAAACGTACTAAATGCTCCCCTTGTAGGGATAACAAGAACAGCCCTCCACCCCCATAATTCTAGTCCAAATATCAAAGAAGAATTTACATTCTAACAAGTCCCAGGCACAAAATTGTGACTTCAATGCACAGGACCAAAAACAAAAACAAAACAAAACAAAAAAACCTTCCTTTAAACAAAAATGCCACCGCTAAGCTGAAAGTTACATCTTCTTGGGGATGAAACTACTGGTTGCCCAGCCATGAAAATGTAGTATAATGTTTTATTTATAGATCTGGGAAACGGCCAATACAAAAGTTGACTGGATCCACCAAGGAAGTGGCTGTTGATCCCATCAAGTAACACGCCAGCCTGACCTGCTTAGTTTCTGAGACCCAGGTGATGTCAGTAAAATGGTGTTGGGTTTTTCTTGCCAAAAAAGATTGTTGTATGTTTGTCAATACACACCAGTTCTCCAGGGTGCCTGATGTAGAACAAGAGTACAGGAAAGCTAATAATCATTTTATGTTCTCCATAAAGGAGCGATGATACAAATTATCAAGTCGCTTTAAGTATCACAAGCAATGCAGACCAGTGTAATATCAACCTCTGTAGAACCCGGTCTCCTCTCTCTTTCAGTGTAAATTCACAGCCTCGGCACTATCACATCCAAATGCTTGCACACTTAGTGCAAGGATGTCTTTACAATTCTTGGCAGCCAGCCAGCATTTTAGGCTCTATAACTACCTCACAAGTTGTTTCTCTTCCCTGTGTTCTAAGGGTCTCAGCTCAGGAGGCGCCTCTAAGCAAAATTTCCCCAACCTTCCTCCTCCACCGCATGCTCTCCTCACACTTGTACTGAGCAGGAGTCATATTCTTGTACTTGTACTGAGCAGGAGTCATAGTCTTTCTGAAGTCAGCTGATTCCATGGATTTTTAGTTCCGTCATAGCACTGACCACGCACTACTTGACACTTTGTTGTCTCGAGACAGGATTCCATTCTAATGTCCAGGCTGGCTGGAACTTGTGACAGCCCTGCAGCCTCGGCTTCCAGAATGCCGAGATTAAAGGTGTGAACTACCGTAACGGCCTATCTTGCACCTTAACACCTGAAACCTGTATGCACGCCATAAAGGCTCAAGTATTTGAAGGGTATCTACCTACGTCCACAGTCTTCATGCCACTTCGAGTCCTGCAAACCCGCTCCCTAAAACAAGGCCGACAACCACGCTCCTGCTCTTTTTTCATACACTAATAACCGACAGTGACGCTCTTACGGAACTGTCCTTTCATTGCGAGCACAAAACTTTCAGCTGCGCCTTGGCTACGTCCTCTCTCCCGGCAGACTTTGGAATTTCAGTAAAGCGAGCAGTTCCTATTAGGCACCCACCAAGCGGTGCGAGTGATGTGAAAATTCCCAAAGGCAAATTCCAACACGCTTCTATGTAACACCCGGCCAACTCCAAATTCCCCTTTCATTGTTTTAAGGCCTGCGTTTACCTTTCGCGCATGCGCTTGGCTACCGCACCAATTCCCCCACCCGCCCACCCGCCCGCCCGCTCCTCTTGCGCACGCGCCGGCTCTGCGCTGCCACCCTCCCCCCCCCTCCTCCCGCCGCCCCCGGCCTAGGTCACCGACTCCTCCCGTGCCCTCCGGTGTCAAGGCGCACAACCCGGCCGCGGGCCCCGCGCCGGCACTCACCGGTACTCGAACTCCTCGTCGTCGTACTTGTCCGAATAGTAGATCTGTTTGTGCGACATGACGGCTGTGCCCGCGGGCGCCCGGCCCCGCGCCGCTGGCCTGCAGACAACTCCCGGCAGCACGCGCTCCCCACCCTCTTTGGCCCCGCTTTCAAACACACCGCCTGCACTTCCCATTGGCCTCTCCGGCCGGAGGCGGGACAGCCCCACTCCGGAGTCCCCGATTGGCTCGCACTGGCGTCTCCGCGAGCCGTAAGCGGAGGGCCGAGCTCAGGTTTCCGAAGCGCGAGCTGGGTCCACACCGGGGCTCTCATTGGCTCCCGCTGAGCCCCGAGCGCCTGCTCACGCGGCCATTGGCCCGCTTTGCAGAGCGGCCGGGCGGAGGAGGGACGGCGAGGTAGGGGGTCAGGGGTTAGTGAGGCCGGAAGTGAGTGCAATAAAGTTTGTCTGGGGAGGCCGAGGCCCGGGGGAGAAAGTTGGGGCGGTGACTTAAGCCGACAGCTACGTGATCCGGAACCAGATCGGCCCCGCGGTCCGGTGCGGAGACTCCATGCGACCCTGGTGAGTGCAGACTTTCTCTCTGTTAGCGACCCCACTCCTCCTCCTCCTCCACCCCGGAACCCCTCTCCCAGGACCCTACTTCCGGTCTCGCGGTGTGAGTCCCGCCCCCGAGACCCCCTCCCCGGAAGTCCCACCTCCCAACTTCAAGGGGCTCCCCGAACCCCTTGCTTGTCTCTCGCCGTCGCGACCACACCCTGTGGTCCCACTCCCCTGGAAATCCCACCCCCGGACAGGCTTCCCTAGCTCCCCAAGATCAGAGTTTTTCAGCTCTGCGTCTGCCTTCTCGGGAGCCTCGGCTAAACCGGGTCTGTCTAAAGCCTGGCTTCCAAAAGGGGCAAAGCCTTGCTTTGGAAGGGACCGTTCGGCTGGGTAGAAGTGACGCCTCTCGGGGGCCCGCCCCCTCGGGCCCCGCCCCTTCCACTGTCCACGTCTGGTCCCGGGAATGGGGCCGACTCCTGGTCAGGGACCAGGTCCCCCCCCTCAGGAGACGTCTCCCTGTTGAGCTTGGGTCCATGCCTCCAAGCCCTGGTCTTTTACGTCCCGGACGCTTCCCTTGCTTCTGTATCCCTCTCCTCTCTTTAAAAGCCTTGGGCTCAGTTTTTCCCGAGCTTCTCCCTCCATCAGGTGGGAGGTGGAAATTTGTGGTTTGTAAGGAGTGAGATTATTAGCAGTGTCGTTTCCCCCGTAACCTTCTCTGACTGTGAAGTAAGTGGAAGGGGCTGGGTTTCGTTTATGGCCGAATGGACGAGAGCGTGGCTTAGAGACTCCTTCCCGTGGCAGACCCTATTCCCGAGTCAGCCATAGGTGCACCTTCCTATGGCTGGATTGGACTAAGTGTGGATTTGTGTGAACCTTAACAGGAGGGAAAGTTTTCCTGCCATCAGAAGAAAAACTGTTTTGGAGTCAGGAGTAGGGTTTCTTGTCCTTTCCGTTGTTTTTAAAGGACCCCTCCCCCTAACCAGATAACTCCTGTTTGGCATGCATCCTGACCTCACTTGCCCAACCTTCCCTGCTGGAAACATTCCTGAGGCTTTCGCCATTTCCTGCTATTTCCTGCCGCTCCAGCTTCCTCCCTGCTGGGCTGAGGGCTCTCCCTAGCCGCTACTACCTAGCTTTGGTCCGGTAGGCAATCTGCCATCTCTTTAAGCATGTTTAAAGGCTCATGCTTCCCTTTCTTCCAAATGTGCACACTGCGGGTCGTTCCTTGCCTCTGGATATGAACGCTCCCAGAGAAAGACAAGACAAGGACATCCTAGTGTGTGTTTGTGTGATTGGAAGTGTATGGCTGTGGCAGAATTTCCTCCTCTAAGAGCTGACAGTATTTATTTTCAGGAAGAGGTGTGGTGTTAAGTAACAGCTTTCCTGGGATGGGGTTTGAGAGAGTAAAGCATGATATTCGACCCATTTTAAGTGCTGGTGTTGTTAACCACAATCGTACAGTTTTTAATTCTCCAAAGTAAACTTAAGAGTAGTTTGGAGGGGAGCCTTTAAGGAAGTATCTTCTACCCTTTGTATTTGATCACTTTTTTTTTTTCTTAAGGAAATAAGTGATAGTCTATTCTGGAGCAATGCTGATTGGTCACTTTAACTTCCTGATGGCCTTTAGCAGCGCTGTGGCAGGAAACTGTGGGCAAAGGAATATGGGTTTGGTGGTGTTATGCACTTATGGCCAGATCCCAACGCCTGGTATCCCTTTCTCCTTCCTGTCCATTAACACAGATTGTTTATGGCCCTGTTAGCCCTTTGTGGCTGGTAGGCGCCCGTTCTGTGTTCCCGTTGTCCTGCCTCAAGGCCAACCCCCCCGAACTAGTGTGAGGGACCCTGTCGTGTGGGGCTTGCAGCCTCCCCGGAGACAGGTATGCCTGTAGGTCCGAAGGTACCCTGATTGCTCTGTATCCTCTGGCTTTCCTCGCTAGGACCGTGGGAAAGGGGCTCCACGAAGTCCGTTGGTCTTTGGTAGGTGACGTGTGTAAAGAACAGGCTTGTTCTAGCTCTTGCCTGGTAGCTCCCAGACGCGCCACCCCAACTGGCCTTTATTCCTCCTAGTTCCCTCTGGGCTCGATCTCCACCCACTGGGACTGCTTTCCCTTCCTGGTTGCCTGCTCTGGTCCACAGCTGTTGTGGCTAAGGATGCTAATGGCCCAGGTTCCCTGGGGCTGCCACCTCTCTCACTGTGTGGTGGGGGGTGGGGGATGGATGGTCTGGACTGTAAGGGAAATGCTAAACTCTGGGACACCCCCACCTCCCTTTCCACCCTCAGCAGCTCGTTTCCTCCTTTATCCCTCTCCTGGCCTTCCCTGGCTTCCTGCTCGCTCCGGCTTCCCCATGTGGGCTAGGATTGATCCCGAGTTCCTCTTAACTCCTTCCTTTCCTTTCTTCCCCCTCTTTTTCTTATTCTTCCATTTTTCTTTCCTACCTGGCACCTTTCTCCTCCCCAGACAGACTACCAGTGGTTAGAATTGGGCAAGGGAGAGTAGCCTGGCTAGCACAAATCGTGCGGGGACGAGTCTCAGTCCCTCTGAGCCTGTGAGTCAGCGTTGTCCTTGGGATTGGTCTCTCTTCTTAGTTCCCCGCCCCTGGGGAGGGGCCAGTCAGCTCTGGGTCCAGCCTGTACTCCTCAGCCAGAAGAGGCTTCCTCGCTGGGCTGGGCAAGGATGTGGCCTGAAACTGTCTAGGTCTGACGTGGGAGAGCAGAGGCCACTTGTCCTTCGCCTCCCTAGGTCCTCTGTTATCACCAGGCTGCAGAGGTCAAACCAGGCTCACGGCCTGGGGATGCCCCCTGCCTGGCCCCCTTGCCTGAATTTGGCAGGGGGGCCGGGCCGGGCCGGGCCAGGCAGAGGTCCCCCTTCTCACCCCAGCCATGGATCTTCTACCCCCGAAGCCGAAGTACAACCCACTTCGAAATGAGTCTCTGTCATCGCTGGAGGAGGGGGCTTCAGGGTCTACCCCCACAGAAGAGCTGCCTTCCCCGTCAGCCTCGTCCCTGGGACCCATTCTGCCTCCCCTGCCGGGGGACGATAGTCCGACTACCCTGTGTTCCTTCTTTCCCCGGATGAGCAACCTGAAGCTGGCCAATCCTGCTGGGGGGCGCCTGGGGCCTAAGGGGGAGCCAGGAAAGGCTGCTGAAGATGGGGCGGGGAACGCAGGGGCAGCCCTCCGGGACACAGGCCTTCTGCCCCTCCTCCAGGACATGAACAAGCTGAGTGGAGGCGGCGGCGGCGGGCGCAGGACTCGGGTCGAAGGGGGCCAGCTGGGGGGCGAGGAGTGGACCAGACACGGGAGCTTTGTCAATAAGCCCACGCGAGGCTGGCTGCATCCCAACGAGAAAGTCATGGGACCTGGGGTTTCCTACTTGGTTCGGGTGAGTGAACATCCTCCTTTGCACCCTCCCACACCCCATCCAGTTCCTCTGCTCACCCCAGCTTTGCTGGGACTTCTGCTCTTCCCCCAACATCTTCTATCTGGGTTAGTCCCCTAGCTCTTAAACCTGCCCCATCCCTTCTCCAGTTCCGTGGCCTTCTGTTCTAGCCTGGGAATCTTCTGCCCAGGGCCCCTTTCCTCCTTTGATCCCTACCCCCAGCTAACACGGTGCCCAGGCACATCAGATGCCCAGGCACATCAGAGGCGTTGAAGTGTTGAATGAAAAATGACTCCTGATTCTTCCCTCCAGACTCCTCCCTTGTCCAGGTGTTACTGCGTCCCACCCGATGCCTGCTACTCCTCTCACAGGCTTTCTCTCCACAGTGCATGAAGGCCCTCCTCGGTGGCCCTTCTTCACTTATGGGGGGGGTATCCCCAGGCAATGGGAAGGCCACTTCACCTTTACTCCCCTTAGGGACTCCATAGGACAAAGTCCTAGAACCTTCTGCAAAGGGCGGGGAGTGTGGGGAGGGGGAGGGGCCGCTGATCATTCTGGCCTCCTTCCTCCACAGTACATGGGTTGTGTGGAGGTCCTGCAGTCAATGCGAGCCCTTGACTTCAATACCCGGACTCAGGTCACCAGGTGAGTGGAGAGGCAGGTATATCGTTGGAGTCCTAGGATTAGTGAAGTCACAGAAGTCTCAGTAACGGGGAGGAGGGAGGTTGGTCGTCTGGTGGTGGTGCTGATGGTGACTTCTCATCGGGTGGGTGGCCAAGAGAATTTAGAGAAAGTTACAGAAATGTGTCTGACTGGAAAGAGCCAGCTCTGGTCTGGAGCACCACCTTTCCCATCCAGCCTTGGCGATTATGGGAAGAAGGATTAGAAGAGGTGGGGTCGAGGTTGCTGTTGTTTTTGGGAAGGGAATGGAACATTTGGTAACTGGGAAGAGGTGGGGCTCCAGCCACTGAGGCCCTAACCCAATCAGCCAGGAAGCGGCCCCTCGGTGTCATCAAATATTAAAGGCCCTTAATTCAATCCACCACGACAAAGAGCCTGGAGTGCTCTGGGAGTCTGGCCTGGTCTTCCCCTCCCCCAGCTCTGTGGCAGCCCCAGGCGGTGGGAGGCCAGTGGTGGGTCTGAGTACCCCTGTTCCTCCAGGGAGGCCATCAGTTTGGTGTGTGAGGCTGTGCCTGGTGCCAAAGGGGCAACGAGGAGGAGGAAGGTATGTGTGGTTGGTTGTTGTGGGGGGCGGGAAGAAGGCAGAGGCAGGCACGTGGGAAGAAGACGGGAGTGTCTCCCGGTGTGGGGAGCGCTCGGATTCCGAGACTCTTCTGGGACCCTTTCCTAGCCCTGTAGCCGCCCACTCAGCTCCATCCTGGGGAGGAGTAACCTGAAGTTCGCTGGAATGCCAATCACGCTCACTGTGTCCACCAGCAGCCTTAACCTCATGGCAGCAGACTGCAAACAGGTGGGGGGGCCTGCTGAAAGGGACCAGGGGTGCTTATGGGAGGGTCAGGGGGGATCTGGAGGCCAAAAGCGGGGAGTCCTCAGGAGCAACTGGAGAGTAGAGAAGGAAGAAATTAAGGGGTTGGGTATAGTGACCCCTTTAATCCCAACACTCCGGAGGCAGAGGCAGGGAAAGTTCAAAGCCAGCAAGGGCTATATAGTGAGACCCTGCACCCCTGCCCCCCATAAAGAGAATGAAATTAGGAGAATGTAGGATTGGAAGCCAAGAGGAGACTGGGGCTCCACGGTTCTGAGCTGGGCTGAGGAGACACTGAGCTCTGGGCTGCCTGACACTTACCATTCCCTTCTCCATCCCCTGCCCTCATCAGATCATTGCCAACCATCACATGCAATCTATCTCATTCGCGTCTGGTGGGGATCCGGTGAGTTGGGGAACAGAGGAGAGATGGGGGTGGGGACTGAGAGGCTAGGGGTTAGGAAGGAAGATACTGGCTAGAGGACGGGCCTGGTGGCACATGCCTGCAATCCCAGCACCCTGTAAGTCCAGGACAGCCAGAGAAATCCTTTTTTGAAAACCCAAAAGAGGGAGAGAGAGAGAGAGAGGATTGTGGAAATACTGAAAAGGACAGAGTCTTAGCGGGTCAAGTAAGATGGAGTTTTAAAATGCAGCTAACTGGTCTCTTCTGAATCCATCCCCTCTAGGACACAGCTGAGTATGTTGCCTATGTTGCCAAAGACCCTGTAAATCAGAGAGGTGAGGCCTGTGAGCAACCCTGGGGGGGGGGGCACTTCTCTGAGAGGCAAGTGGGATCACTCCCCTGCTCCACGCGATAGGGCTGTGCTGCTGAGGATTGGGGGGTGGGAGGCTCCCGCCCATGTGTCCTCCCAGCACCTTACCTCGGAGCTCACTGTAGTTTCTTCTGTGTCCCTAGCCTGCCATATCCTGGAGTGTCCTGAAGGGCTTGCTCAGGATGTCATCAGCACTATCGGTCAGGCCTTTGAGTTGCGCTTCAAACAATATCTCAGGAATCCACCCAAGCTGGTCACCCCCCATGACAGGTGAGCTGTGTAAAGAGTGGGATGCAGCTCGGGAGCCTCAGGCTGGGATTGGGGAGTAGTTTTCTCTTCCCATGCTTGAGCTCCAAGAGTTCAGAAGAAGTAATGACCTATGTGACCCTGCCTCCCTCTTCCTACTGTGTTAGGTCTCCGGTGGCTCAGCAGGAAGGTCTGCTGAGGGCCATGCCTGCTGCAGGGACAGTTTCTTCCTTTGGTTTGCCTAGGGTGAGGTTATATTCCAGCACCTCCCACTAGGTTGCCTTTCTTAGCTGGATGGATTCTGGCTCAGGCTCCTCATTTCTAGCCTATCCCTGTGTTCTCATATACTTTTTTTTCCCTTAAAGATTTATTTTTATTTTATGCATATGTGTATTTTACTGCATGTATATAAGTGCATACAGTGTCTGTGGAAGCCAAAAGAGGCCATTGGATACCCTGGAACTGGAATTAAAGGTGGTTGTGAGCTGCCATGTGAGTTCTGGGAAGCAAACCTGGGTCTTCTGAAAGATGAGCAGTGTTCTTAACCCCGGAGCATCGTACTTCCCCATTCATTGCCCTGGGCTTCTCTGCTTCTGAAGGTCATTAGCAATCTAGATTTTAGCCAGGTGCTGGTGGCACGCGTCTTTAATCCCAGTACCGGCAGGCAGAAGCAAGTGGATCTCTGTGAGTTCGAGGCCAGCCTGGTCTACAAAGCGAGTTCCAGGAAAGGTGCAAAGCTACACAGAAAAACCCTGTCTTGAAGAAAACAAAGCAAAACAAAACAAAAAAAATCCAGATTGAGAAGATATTTTCTTTGTTTCTACATGTGTGTATGTGTTGGGGCATATGTTGTGTGTGCAAATATGTGCCTGCATGTGTGTGCATGTAGAGGTTTGAAGTTGTTATCATATGTCTTCCTCTATTGGGTCACACTTTGTTTATTGAAGGTCAGGATCTCTCCCTGGCCTGGAGCTTCCCAGATACGGTTAGCAGCAACTGCTTGCTCTGGAGCCTGTCTCTGTCTCCAGAGTCCTGGGGTTACAGGTGGCCCCCCATTCTTATACAGGTGGCCTGGCTTGTACATGGGTTCTGGTGATCTGAACTCTGACCCTTACACTTTAGCTACTGAGTTATTTCCAGAGCATCTCTTTTATGTGAGATCCCCATGTTTCTTTTTTCAAGTTCCCAGAGATAAACAGTATGACCATCAGGGACTTTGTACGTTAGACCATCCTGGCTATCCATCCCTGTGTTCAGTAGCGCTTCTGTCCCTCTTAGGAGATACTGAGGCTGCCTAAAGTGAGAGGTTTTGGTTTAAACCCAAGTTAATCCGACCCACAGTAGATGCCTGGTGTGTGGTCACTGTTCTCTTCCCTTCCTGGGTCTCTCGGCCACCACGTGTTTACACCTGCTCACTCCATCCTTCCCTTCTCAGGATGGCTGGCTTTGATGGCTCAGCTTGGGATGAGGAGGAAGAAGAGCCACCTGACCATCAGTACTATAATGACTTCCCAGGGAAGGAACCCCCTCTCGGCGGGGTGGTAGACATGAGGCTTCGAGAAGGGGCCGCTCGACCCTCTCTGCCCACTGCCCAGATGTCCAGCCACTTGGGAGCTACACTGGTAAGCTTCTGGGATGGAGACCACCAGTCTGGGGTGGGGGTGGTGGCTAGGACCTGGGTCTCACCTGATTTTCCTTCTTACAGCCTATAGGGCAGCATGCTGCAGGAGACCCTGAAGTCCGTAAACAGATGCTGCCTCCCCCACCTTGCCCAGGTAGGACCAGTTTGCCGAATGGGACAGAGATGGGTACAGAAGGCAGGTCTGGGATTGACGGACTCTGTGTCTTTCCTTACCAGGCAGAGAACTCTTCGATGACCCTTCCTATGTCAACATCCAGAATCTAGACAAGGCCCGGCAAGCTGGGGGTGGGGCCGGGCCTCCCAATCCTTCCCTTAATGGCAGTGCACCCCGAGACCTCTTTGACATGAGTGAGTGAGTCTCTTGTAGCCCCACATTTCTCTGTTCCTCCTCCTTTCCTGCCTGTCTGTTCTCACTACCTGACTTCCCACAGAGCCTGGGTCTTGGGTGTCTTGGGCCAGCTCTCCTAGCCGTCTCTCTACCCCCTAGAGCCCTTTGAAGATGCCCTTCGTGTGCCTCCACCTCCCCAGGCCATGTCCATGGCCGAGCAGCTCCAAGGGGAGTCCTGGTTCCACGGGAAGCTGAGCCGGCGGGAGGCCGAGGCGCTGCTCCAGCTCAATGGTGACTTCTTGGTGCGAGAGAGCACTACCACCCCTGGCCAGTACGTGCTCACTGGTCTGCAGAGTGGGCAGCCCAAACACCTGCTGCTGGTGGACCCCGAAGGCGTGGTGAGTGCCAGAGGTGTGCATGCGTAGGGGATAGTGGAGGAAGGGCCTTTTCCTCTCCTTACCGCTTTCTGCGGGTCTCCTGTGCTCCTCTGGGTCATTGGTATCTGCCTGCAGTGGCCTGAGGTTCCTTCCCTTCCTGTCCCTCGGTCCGAGCTGTGTTCTCTTTTGGTTTTTCGAGACAGAGTTTCTCTTGTGTAACAGCTGTGGCTGTTCTGGAACTCACTCTGTAGACCAGGCTGGCCTCGAACTCACAGAGATCCACTTGCCTCTGTCTCCTGAGTGCTGGGACTAAACGCGTGTGCTACCATGGCCGCCTCTGAGCTGTGTTCTTGACAGTTCTGACCAGTCCTCCAATCCCAGACCCAGAAGTGCTTACCTGATCTGTGCTCCTTTTCCAAGTGAGGAAGTGACCCGTCACCATCGTCAGATGGTCATGGAGTAGAGACCCCAAATTTCCTCTTTCGAGAGGAGTCAAGAGTCTCTCTAGTTCCTTAGCTTCCAACTCTGTCCTTTTCCCTCCTTTTTCAAAGTCTGACCTGCCTCACTACCTGACAACCTCGGTTTCTTTTCTCTTCTCAGCCTCTTTCCTACATCTGTACTGTGTATCCTCCATTGAGACATACCAGTCCTTTCAAGTCAGAAGTTTCACTGCTTATCAGCTTCCGTGTTTCTGGGCTCATGTCTCCTTTCACATTCTCCCAGTTCACTGGCCTATCCACTCCTGTGTGTGAATATCCTCTCTGTAAAGGAGTCTATATAATCATGGCTGACCGCCCCCTCCCCCCATCCGCCCCAGTCTCGAGGGTTGAGGTCTTCCTGAACTCTTCACTTGAACTGGCCCTCTCATTTCCACCTTCCCAGGTTCGGACGAAGGATCACCGCTTTGAGAGTGTCAGTCACCTCATCAGCTATCACATGGACAATCACTTGCCCATCATCTCTGCGGGCAGCGAACTGTGTCTACAGCAACCCGTGGATCGGAAAGCGTGATCCTCAGTCTTTCCTGGATGCCCTCCGTCCCTTTCTACTGTGTTCTGTAACTCTTGGGACCTCTGTTCTGTGGGTCTGGCCTTGGGTGGGAACTGGGAGCCGTGTGGACACTGGGTGCTCACCTGAGAGGGGTTTTAGTTCAGAACCTGGGGTAGCATTCTGCTTCTGCCCAAACCTCACCAAAGTATTAATGTACAGAGTGGTCCCTTGCCTGGGCCTTGTCTGTGCCAACCTGATGCCCTTCCCCCAAAGGGTGGGTTCTTACAATGGAAAATGCCCTGTGCTGATAGGCCCAGTGGAGCAGTTGCCCTTCGGGGGAAGGGAAATAATCATACCTCTGGTTTACCCCTGGTCTTCAGGGTACCCCAGATCCCTCTGAACATATCCTGCTCCCTGTGCATCCCCTTACAACTTTGTGCCTTCGACTATCTCCTAGGTCTGCAGAGACTCTGTGCAAAGAGTTCTCAGGCCCTTCATGGATGGGGCTGCTGCCACCTGGGCTTCTAGAGCCTTGTCATGCCCAGCACCCCTTCCTGTGTTTGGGAAGAACAGGCAGGAGTGGGCAGCTCTCTCCTCTGCCTTTTGACTTGCAGTCCTTAAGAGATCGCCCCAAGCTGGGCTTGGTGGTGCACGCCTTTAATCCCAGCACTCAGGAGGCAGAGGCAGGTGGATCTCTGTGAGGCCAGCCTGGTCTACAGAGTGAGTTCCAGGACAGTCGGGACTATGTAGAGAGACCCTGACTCCAAAAACCAAAAAGAGAGAGACAGAAATTGCCCCAGCGCCCCCTCCTGGTGGCAGGGGGAGGGGCCGGATTGGACCGCTGCCTTGCTCAGTGCCTCCTGGCCTTGCCCCCCTTCCTCCAAGGGGTCTATACATTTCTTAAGCGCCCCCCCTCCATGATTGCATGTGTGTTATAGTCTACAGCCAAAGCATAGCCCTTCTTCCTGCAACTCCATCCAGTCTCCCTCTTTGGGGATGGGTGTGTGTGACTGACTTGGCCTCCAGTGTGTGCAGTTAACCTCGGGGTGGGTTTTGTGGAGGTGTTAAGACTGAAGCATCAGACAATCCCCAATGCCGTTTGTTGGTCTGGAACTGCACTGTTTTTTTTTGTTTGTTTGTTTGTTTGTTTTTTTGTTTTTTTTTAACATACACGCATTTTAGGGCTGTAGATTTATTTTCCTGATTTTGTTTCTGTTGCTTACTTTTCAGCACAAATTATGATAGTCGATTACATTTATACATCACCTCGTTGACTTTTCCAAACCTTTTTTTTTTTTTTTTTTTAACTGTTGGGATTTTACTCTCTCTGGCCTGAAAGGCACTAGGACAGGGTTCGTTTTTCTTCTTCCTCAAGAGATCTGAGAAGAAGTTTGGTTAAACAGTGTTGTGGGGTCATGATGTGAAAGCTCACTGCAGATCCTACATTCTGCCTGTGGGCCGATGCATTCAGGACAGAAACCTTGCAAGGAGGGTAGACTGGTTTTCAATCTTGGCCTATTTTTGGTTTGGCTGTCTTATACCAAAGGGAAATAGTCTTCATTAAAGTCCATATTTCTTCTACCTCGGCCTCTCAACATCTCTAGAAAGTCTGATTGATGGGGGCTGTCGGTGGGAGGTGGTGGAGGACCCCACCTGGGCCAGGCCCATTAGGCTCAGAGCCAGCGCCTGTCCACGGGAACCGAATCTGCGAGCATTTGGGGGCAGTGAGGCTGCGCGGTAGGGACGTAAGTGGAAGGCGACTGGCTCACGGTGGGAGGGGGCGTGTCCGGACCGCCCCCGGGCCCACGGGGAGCGCGCCCGGCCCCCTGTCGAGCGGTGCACCCCTCACAGCCGCGAGGCCAGCTCGGGCGGTGTTAGCTACACTTCGGAGGAGTGGCGTGGCGAGGCCCAGCCTTCCTGGGTGCGGCGTCTGGGCCCTTCCCATCTTCCCCTCCCCACGGAGCTTGGTGGTGGCGACCCATTGGAGTTCCGGTTCCGGTTGCTGTAGCCGCGGGCGGGCGGTGAGTCTGGAGCAGGCGTGCAGTTGGTGCTCTGGCTCTGCGCCTTCCCCCTCGCCGCCGTGTCTAGGTCTTGCTGCAGCTCGGGGGTGCTGCGCTGCCCCTGACTCCCCTCCGGGCGATGGTGCGGCCTGAGGACGCTTCCATCCCCCACCGACGCTGACTCGGGTCCCCCAATCCATGGCCGCCTCGGCGCCGCCCCCACCGGACAAGCTGGAGGGAGGCAGCGGCCCCGCACCGCCCCCCGCGCCGCCCAGCACCGGGAGGAAGCAGGGCAAGGCCGGTGAGAGCGCAGAGTGGGGCGGGGGCGGTCGAGGCCCGGGACCCGGGAACCTCGGATGGAAGGGTTGGGGGGATGGGGAGGTTGCCTAGGGGTCTTGGAGGTAGCCTCAGGTGAGAACGCTTAGTGGCTGGGGGCAAGTGTCACAGATCACTTGAGGTTTTGGAGCCGGGTAACTTTGATTGCAGGGAAGATGTAGGGTGTAGCTGAGAGCGTAGTCACACTAGTCATGTTTCATATTTCACCCCTGTTTCTTAAATAAGTAAGCAAGTGTACGTGGAAGTTAGAGTCTGGAGAGTGGCTGGGAGGAAGGAGACGGTAGAAACCTCGGGAAAACTTGCCTCCGTCTGCCTATTGCTGCTCTTCCAGGTCTGCAAATGAAGAGCCCTGAAAAGAAACGAAGAAAGTCCAACACTCAGGTAAATGGGGGTCTGCGGTGGGAGTGGTCCCTAGAAGCCCCTCCTACTTTGTCTGTCTGTCTGCCCCTTTGTGATTTCCAGGAGATGCAGGAAAAAGAAAAAGCAGAAATACTCTTCTCTCTCTCCCTCGTGGTTCCTAGTTCTGTCTCAGCGACAGCATTTAACCCAGCCTCACCTTTTCCTTTCTCGTTCTCCCTTTTTGAGACAATTGTCTGGTGTGAGCCAGACTGACTTCAGATTTGCTGCGCAGCCAAGGATGACTTTAGATCCATGATCCTCCTGCTTTTCCTTCCAAGGCAGTGGGATTACAGATGTCTGTCACCGTACTGGGTTTCTGCAGTGCTGGGGACCCAAAGGATGAGTCCCAGGTGCCCTTAGAGGCCAGAAGAGAGGATCAGAGTCCCCCAAACTGGAGGTACAGGCAGTTGTGAGCCACCACGCGGGTGCTGGGAACAGAACCCAGGGCTTGTGCAAGAGCATCAAGTGCTCTTAAGCCTGTGAGCCATCTTTCCAGCCTGTACTTTTTTTTGAGACAAGGTTCTGAGCTTGGCTTTGATCTCTTAGCTCTCCTGCTTCAGCCTCCCAAGTGCTAGCATTACTGGCATGTCTCACCAGGCCCAGCTTGCTGAGTCTTTCCTAAGTGTTGTAGTAACGCTACAGAGCTTTAACAGTTGTTCCTGTTATAAAAGTTGAGAAAATAGGAGACTTTTAAAAAACTTAAATATTCAGCCGGGTGTGGTGGTGCACGCCTTTAATCCCAGTACCAAAACAAAACAAAAAAAAAAAGTTAAATATTCAGTATCGAGTGCTTGCCTAGCTAGATTGCACAAAGCCCTGAATTCAAATCCCAGCATCTCAAAAACCAGACTTAGTGGTTCATGTCTGTCCCAGTACCCCAAAGATTGAGGCAGGAGAATGGGGATAATGAGAATTTTGTTTGTTTGTTTTGTTTTTTGAGACAGGGTTTCTCTTTGTAGCTTTGGTGCCTGTCCTGGAACTCACTCTGTATCCCAGGCTGGCCTCAAACTCACAGAGATCCACCTGCCTCTGCCTTCCAAGTGCTGGGATTAAAGGCATGCGCCACCACCGCCCAGTGGTGATGATGAGAATTTCAAGTTTATCCTCAGCTACAAACTGAGCTTATGTACAGCCTGGGTTATATATATCTCAAAGGGTGGGGAGGGAGGTGTCAACTGCTTTGGGGTCAGACCTGGCTTTTGGTGTGATTTTATTTTTATATATATAAAATCTTACTGTGTTTAATTATGCATATGGGTCTCTGTGTGTGTCCTTGTGAGTGAGTGAAAGAAGCCAGGCTGTGATTCCTCTGGAGCTGGAGTTGGAGGCTGTTGAGCCCTCCACCGTGGGTGCCGGGGATCAAACTCATGCTCTTAACCACTGAGCTGTCTCTCCAGCCCCGTGTGCCTGTGTTTTGTTGTGCTTTTTGAGAACAGTGCTCTTGCGCTGTGGGCCCCACCCTCTACCCTCTGTCACGTTCCAGGGTCTGTCACAGTTTCGGATGTGAGCTGTGCCAGTCTTGGAAGAGTATGGTGTTTGTGGTGCTCTCCCAGCGTGGCCCCGTGTCTCCTCACATCTTCCTCCTTTTGCACTAGGGTCCTGCATACTCGCATCTGACGGAGTTTGCACCGCCCCCAACTCCCATGGTGGATCATCTGGTTGCTTCCAACCCCTTTGAGGATGACTTCGGAGCCCCTAAGGTGGGGGGTGCAGGCCCTCCATTCCTTGGCAGTCCTGTGCCCTTTGGAGGCTTTCGTGTACAGGGGGGCATGGCGGGCCAGGTACCCCCAGGCTATGGCACTGGAGGAGGAGGGGGTCCCCAGCCACTTCGTCGACAGCCCCCTCCTTTCCCTCCCAACCCTATGGGCCCAGCTTTTAATATGCCTCCCCAGGGCCCTGGCTATCCACCCCCCGGCAACATGAACTTTCCCAGTCAACCTTTCAACCAGTCTCTGGGCCAAAACTTTAGCCCACCTGGTGGGCAGATGATGCCGGGCCCAGTGGGGGGATTTGGTCCCATGATCTCGCCCACCATGGGACAGCCTCCCCGAGGGGAGCTGGGTCCTCCTCCTCTCCCCCAACGCTTTGCCCAGCCGGGAGCGCCTTTTGGTCCTTCTCTTCAGAGACCTGGTCAGGGACTCCCCAGCCTGCCTCCCAACACAAGTCCCTTCCCTGGTCCAGACCCTGGTTTTCCTGGCCCCGGTGGTGAGGATGGGGGAAAGCCCTTGAATCCACCTGCTCCCACTGCTTTCCCCCAGGAGCCCCACTCGGGCTCCCCCGCCGCAGCTGTTAACGGGAACCAACCTAGTTTCCCCCCCAGCAGCAGTGGTCGAGGTGGAGGCACTCCCGATGCCAACAGTCTGGCGCCCCCTGGCAAGGCAGGCGGAGGCTCGGGGCCGCAGCCTCCCCCGGGCCTGGTGTACCCTTGCGGGGCCTGTCGGAGTGAGGTGAACGATGACCAGGATGCCATCTTGTGTGAGGCCTCCTGCCAGAAATGGTTTCACCGAGAGTGCACCGGTATGACCGAGAGCGCCTACGGGCTGCTAACCACCGAGGCCTCTGCGGTCTGGGCCTGCGACCTCTGCCTCAAGACCAAGGAGATCCAGTCCGTCTACATCCGGGAGGGCATGGGGCAGTTGGTGGCTGCTAACGATGGGTGACGACGCCAGGGCTGTGGCTCGGGGAAGTGCACATTTCTCACCGCGCTCTTGCAGAGTAATTACGTGGCTCTCGCTCCTCGTTTTCCACTGGCTTCCCATCCCCATGGAGCAGAAACATGGTTCCCGGAAGCAGACGCGGAACTGAGGCGTGCAGGCGGAAGAGCCTAGATTGCCGTTTTTTTCTGGGAACTTGCGCGTTGAGATCCAGGAGGCTGAGGCTCTGCTGAGCAGAGTCCTAGAGTCTGGCTGGAGACGACAGGAGGAAAGGGGCCGGAGGACGCTCCAGGCGGCAAGAGTGTCCTGTGCGCAGATGACAGATGACCCTAACGCCCGTGCCTACGATACCTAGGTAGCCCCACGGCTCCAGCTGTAGCTTTTGGAGTCACGTGTTCAAGGTTTCTTCACTCCCTTTTATGGGTTCTGGAAACAAACGGGGATCTTTCTCTCTCTTTTCTCTCTCCCCTTGCTTCCCCTGGACCCTCCTCATTCCTTTCTCCTCAGAGCGCCAAATTCCTTAGAAGAAGCAGAGGTCCCGGAGATAAGAGAGGCTGAGGAGACATCTTCCTCACACCAAAGTCGCTGGTCCTTTCTCAGCTTCTCTTGGGCTTCTCTCGGTGACCATGTTTTTGCCAAAAGTTGGGTTATATGGTTTGACTGACCAGAATATTGGAAGATTGGCTCCCCTGGAAGTCTGGACTGGAGACATAACCCCCCTCTCTCCCCGCACATTATGATAGTGCTGTTCTTCAGCTCTTGGTGCCCTCTTTTCCTCTCTCAGGAGAAAGTCTGGAAAGGCGTAAAGCCCTTATACCTCATTCCTTCCCTGATGAAAGGATCCAAGTGAGGCCCTGCTGTGGCTTTGTGGGGATGGGGCTGGGCAGCAGGATCCTCAAAGCCATGGTACTAATAGCTAAAAGAACCTGAATTTTTCTGCTTTGCCCCTTTTCATCCTGTGGTATCGCCTGGGCCTGGTGATAAAGCAACCAGGCTTGGTTTATTTTTATTTTTGTAGCATTCCCCACCAGTGATGGGACTGAGGCCTGGTCAGGAGCCCCCCTCAGCTTCTCTTACCTCTTTCCAGCTAGCCCATGTGCCCGTTCCTCATATGGGTGAGGACAGCAAGCTTGGGTGTGGCCCTCTGGGGAGAGATCTCCCTGCCGGCACTAGGCATGGTAAGGAAGACCCTCTAAGCCCCGCCCCACTTCTCCGCACGTGGAAAGAGAAGACACTGGTGGAGTTGACAGCCTTTGAGGCTGAAGAGGAAGCGGGTGGACCTGCTTCTTACTGTGCCCCCCCCAACTCCTAGACTTCCTATGTGCCAGCCTCTGCTCCGTGTTGTGTCGTGGTTCTGTTCGCCTCTGTCACCTGTTGTCACTTGTGTGTTGTCTCCATGGTTTGTAAACCGCTCCGGGGAGGTTCCATCCCCCTGTTCCTCTCCACTACTTTTTGGAAGAAAGTGGCTTGGCAGAGATGTGGTTACAGGATCTTTTTTTTATATGGTTGGACTAATAAAATGACTTGAAAATCCAAACAAGGACTCCCTTGTTAATCTGTTGAATCGGTGTCATGGCTAGGAGGATGTCCCTGCTCTCCATCGCCCCCCCCCCCAGCTGCTGTAGACAGCTCGGGAGGCCCCCAGTTTCCCTGCTCCACCTCCCGTCCTTGCTCTGGGAACCCTTGCTTTTGGAGAGAGGCTTGGGCTAGGCTGGAAGCCAGACAGTCGGAGCCAAGGCCTCCGGCCCAGGTGCTGGAGTTCTGGGTTTAAGCAGGAGTTCCACATCTTTCAGTACCCCTACCTCCAGCAGATTTGTTAGTTCAGTATTTTATTTTGGGGGCACACAGGGAGGTAGGTCAGCAGATAAAAGATACTTTTGGCCAAAGCTGAGGACTTGAGTTCAGTTCCCCAAAACCCATCTAGTGGAAGGCGAGGGCTGACTTGGCAGCTCGTCCTCTGATGCCATGTGTGCCGCGGCTTGTGTGTGCACTGCCACTCCCATACACAAGGGTTTGGGGGTCGGGGTTTTTGATTTGGGGGCTGGAGAGATGGCCAGCAGCAATGAAGAACACTTGCTGTTCTTTCGGAGGACCCAGATTCAGTTCCCAGCACTCAATGGCAACTCACAACCATCTGTAACTCTAGTTCCAGAGGATTTAATACCACAGACACGCAGGTAAAATAGCCATATACGTAAACTTTTAAAATTGTTGAGATGTTTCATTTTCCATGCAGGAGATCACAGTGCTCCACCACTGAGTCACATCCAGCCCTGAATTTAATTTGTGGATATTTTTCTGCCTCGGCTCTTCCATTGCTTTTGTTTGATTCAGTTTGGGATTTGTTGAAACAGTCTTGCTTTGTAGCCCAGGCTGGCCTTCATCATCATCCTGTTTCAGCCTCCCTAGTGCTGGGGTTATAGCACCACCTCTTTTTTTTTAAATTACCTTTGTTGGTGTATGATGTGATGAGGGCAGGCACGTGCACAGCGCGCCTGTGGAGGTTTTATGCCACTGAGCCATCCACCGGCTGCTCTTTTGTTGTTTGGTTGTGAGGCGGGATCTCACTCTGTAGCCCTAGCGGGCCTGAAACTCACTACGTGGATCTGGCTGATCTCGAACTCATGAAGATAACCTGTCTCGGCCTCCCACGAGCCTTTCTCCATTTTCAAAGCAGTGGCACCCTCAGCCTGCCGGCAGGAGGGCTATTTCTGAACCCACAACTTGCACCGCACCCCATCCCCCACCCCCCAGCTGTCTCTGTCCATCCTGGAGCCACCATGGCACCCGGCCCTTGCGGTCTCATCAGGCAGCACCTTTCAGTCTTAGGTCTTCCTACTAGACACTAAACATTTCGAAAAGTGGGGAGGTCCCCCCCCCAAAAAAAAAGAAATTTTAGCTTGCTGGGGACCACAGTCCCCCACCAAGACATAAACCGGGGGAAGTACTGCGCAGATCTTCTTTCCCCTCCTTGGGAGGTCAAGTCCAGTTTTTATTGGTCAAAAGTTACCCCCACCCCCACCCCCTGCGGGGACGTCGACTTTTCACTGGTCAAACACCAGCCACGTGACTCCCCGCTTTTTTTTTTTTTTTTCTTCTTTTCTGTCCTGGGCTGGAAACCTGGGGAGGTTACTACAAGTTAAGCTGAAGACTGAAGCGAGAGTCAGGTAAAGCCCTAGCTGGGGGTGGGCCGGCAGATCCCCCCCACACACTTTATCCCCAGATCACAAAGGAGGGCAGAGCTGTAGAAAAGGAATCGGCACCCCGGCGGCGTCCACACACTGCCTAACCCGGGACCTGAGGGCGGGGAAGGAAGGGGTGGATGATCCTGAAGGAGGAACTCAGGCAGGTTCTTGTGGCCCCAGGTCCTTCTCTTTAAAGGTCAGAGAAGGCTGTTAGAGGGAAGTGTGTACCGAACCAGGACTTTACAGCTTTGGGCAGTGTGGGAGCACTCCCCCTTGAGCGGTGTTTTAGAAACAGCACAAGCCAGCGACGGCGCTGACAAGGTGTTCTTGTTGAATCCTGCCTGGGCGAAAAGGGGGGACAGCAGGGTTTCTTCCTAGAGGTCAAAGAGCCCTGCAAGATGCAGCTGGGAAAGATGGCAGCTGAGCCGCGGCACAGTCTCCTAGAGAGCTTCCTAATAAGGCATCGGTGTACGGGCCGGGCCGGGGAGAGCAGCGATGCTTTTTGGTATCAGGGTTTGGGACCCTGCGTGCAGGGGTTCCAGGAAGTCCCCTGCTTAGGTTTGAGAAGGTTTGTCTTGTTGACCCAAATACCATACCACTGCTGGTTTCCGTGGAGACGGTGAGTCTGACATCACCCTGGTTGCCATGGCGCTTAGTTCTGGAGGACCTGAGCAGGCTGTAAACAGCCAGGGATAAACCGGGACTTCTGCTCGAGCGGCTGCCACTTCCTTCCTTGCTGCCGGCCACCTGTTAACAGTCACACCCAGCAGCTGGGGATGGGACGTGTGTCAGGACAGCAGAGGGAGGGGCTGAGGACGGAAGGCCGAACAAGAATGGCCGTGTGGCTGTCCCCAGAGGAAGGGGGGCGTGGGGACGTTGGTTTTTCGGACCTGGTATAGGGAAGTCATTGCAATCATTCTGTCTCCCTGTGGGATGGGTGCTAGTGTCTAGGAGACACCATCAGATGTCCTTTACCTGTCTTGGACTTGAATCTTGACTGGCAAGAGCCGCGGGGCTTTTTAAGGTGATCATGAAGGACTTAAACCCAGCTGGAGTGGAGAGGGAGCATTTAGCTGGTTTTGAAGGTAGAGCTGCCAGGCTCCCCCACCCCAGGTCCCCTTCTCAGTGCTGCGGTATAGCCTCTTCACGGTCTGCCTTTTCTGCCCGGGGGACGCGGTTCCTCATCTCTCTCTGACCACAGTCCAGGGCTCTGTGGGTCAGCCTGTCTGTCACTCCGTCGTCACTCCTGATCCCTAGCCCAGGGGCACAGCCTTGCTTTAAGCTTGGCTTGGGAAGGGGGGGTGATACCTTAACCCCAGCTGCCCTCCAAACTGATTAGCAAGAGTCCCCCCCACCCCCCCACCCCCCGCTTTTTGTTGCAAATTTTAACGTGATTTATGAATGGTAATCCCCACAAATCCCTCTTCTCAGTCACTTTCAAGATCCTGAGATCAGACTGCAGAGTTTAAGGCGGAGAGAGGGCGAGAAGGAGAGTGACTGACTAAATGTACATCCAGGTGGACATAGCTCTGCCAGGCCTGGAGTATTAGAGAGCTTCCTGCCTGGCCGATGCCACTCACTTCAGCTAAGATGGCAATCTTAGCTGAGCCTTGCACAGCCCGTGCTGAGGATCCCCTAAACCGGTGGTTCCCTAACGCTGAGACCCTTTAATAACAGTTCCTCATGTTGTGGGTGACCCCCAACCATAAAATGATTTTGTTGCTACTTCATAACTGTAATTCTGCTACTGTTAGGAAATGTGATGCACATAGCCGGTAGAGGGGTCACACCCCACAGGTTGAGAACCACTGCCCTACACCAGACTGTGCGGAGAACCGATGGTGGATAGGTACTGGAGCTCTTAAGAAGGCTGCTGGGCCTTCTCTTGGGCTCTGTGGGAGGACTCTAGGGACCATGGCGGACCCAGGTATTGTGAACGGGACCTGGGGCGTTTCCCACTCTCTTCAGTCAGCCTCTCTGAGATTCCTCCCCTTGGCCAGAACACCAGGGGGTTGGACTTCTCAGCCTTTGGCCTCTTTGACCTTTCAAGGTCAATGCAGTTGCCCAAGGCCCTGTGGATCTTGGAAGAGGCAGCTTCCTTGTGGCTTTTAGCAAGGTGAATCCCAACAGGAAAGCATGGGATCCGGGCAGGACTGAACTGGCCTGGGTTGTGGAGGCACCTGCCCAGCTTTTGATGCCTGGAGCCATGCCGCTGCTGCCTGCTGTCTGCCTCCCCGATGGGGACTCCCTCCTCTTCCTCCTCCTTGTTCTTTTTTTTTTTTTAATTTTTTTGATTTATTTTATTTTATTTTTTTTTTTTTTGGTTTTTCGAGACAGGGTTTCTCTGTGTAGTTTTGTGTCTTTCGTGGATCTCGCTCTGTAGACCAGGCTGGCCTCGAACTCACAGAGATCTGCCTGCCTATGCCTCCCGAGTGCTGGGATTAAAGACGTGCGCCACCACCGCCCGGCCTGATTTATTTTTATTTGATGTGCATTGGTGTCTCACCTGCCTGTGTGTCTGTGTGAAGGTGTCAGATCCCCTGGAACTGGAGTTACAGACAGTTGTGAGCGGCCATGTGGGTGCTAGGAATTAAACCTGGGTCCTCGGGAAGAGCAGCCAGTGCTCTTAACCGCTGAGCCGGCTCTCCAGCCCAGGAACTCCCATTCTTAAGAGAGCTTTTCTCTGCAGGTGGCCACTCTGCCAACCCTGGACCACTACCACGATGACTTCTTCCTGCCCAGACTCAGATAATACCTGGGTGCTTGCTGGCTCTGAGGTAGGGACAGTGGACCTGGGAGCTACAGGGGAGGGGGGAACCCCTACAGGGTGGACTGATTTGACCCGAACCTGCAGGAGTAATGGTCCTGAGTGGGAGTACTGGGGATTGAGGAATAAAGAAGACAAGAGCAATAGCTGGGACCAGGAGGTCTTCCGTAGCTGATGACTTATGCCAAGCAAGTTTCTTAAGTACAGCATCTTACATACTATTTCCAAGGGAAAATGGCCAAGGTCAGCAGCGAGCTAAACCAGACAATGTTAGCAAAGAACACAGGCTACCTCAGCCTTCGGGTTGATAACCACAGTCTAGCGGGAAGAGTCAGGTCACAAGAATGCAACCTTGACTCCTCCGAGGCACTGGTTCCAGCCCTCGACAACCTTGCCAAGTCAGGACCTCTGAGAAATTCTTGGGTTGGTCTGGGTCCCGGCACTGCTTTCTGGATCTGTCCTGTTCTCTCGGTCCTGACGATCATCTGTGGTCCCTGTTGGCTCTTGTGGGGCTCCAGTGGCAGGGAGGAGACCTGGCACAGAGCTCTGGTGTTGGGGTTTCAGCCACCCCTGGGAAGAGGGGCCCAGATGGGTAAGCTGAGAGAAGAAAGGGACTTCTGGTGTGAGACCAGCAAGAGTGAGCTCATGAGGTGACAGAGAGAGCCATGTGGAGACCGAAGAGCCTTAGGGTAAGGTGGAGACCTACTGTAATCCATGTTGGAATGCTGCGAGCTAGAGCCTAGAACCCCAGAAGAGGCTCAAAGGGCCTGATGAAGCATCAGGTGTTGTCTTAGGGTTACTGTGGCTGTGATGAAACACCATGACCAAGGCAACTTGGGACAAAAGGATTTATGTCAGCTTATACTTCAGGTAACAGTCCGTCACTGAGGGAAGTCAGGGCAGGATCCTGGAGGCAGGAGCTGATGCAGAGGCCATGGAGGGGAGCTGCTTACTGGCTTGCTCTCCATGGCTTCTCAGCCTGCTTTCTTATAGAACGCAGGGCCACCAGCCCAGGGATGGCACCACCCACCATGGGCTGGATCCTCCCACATCAATCACTAATTAATAAAATGCTTCCTGGGCTTGAGTACAGTCTGATCTTATGGAGGCGTCTTCTCAGTGGGGTTCTTTCCTCCCAGATGACTCTAGCCTGTGTCAGGTTGACATAAAATTAGCCAGGACAGGTGTCATCTGATGAGCGGACAGTGTAGAGCTGCTGGGCTGGAGAGGAGCCCGACACTCAGTGTCATCCGCAGGCGATCGAGCCTTTGTGTGGCTGGCTGGGAACAGGGATAGTGCTTGTAAAGCCCTTTCAGCCTTCCAGGTGGCATTTGGGGAGGGTAGGAAACCAGAGGCTCCTGATGCCGCCAAGAAGGGAGAAGGGCTGGTGGGCTGGGAACTAGAATCTAGAGAGGTATGATGAGGATGTGTCAAAGGGATCTGAGAGACTTCCTTAGAACCACTCGGAGGAACTGGGCATAGCGGAGCAAGCTGTGATCCCGCTGCTTGGGAGATGGAGGCAGGAGGCTCAGGATGTTCAGGGTTGTCCTTGGCTACATAGCAAGTTCAGGATACAGGAAACCTTCTATCAACAAGTTAACTACAAATAAATAACAATAAAAAAGAGAGAGTAGCTAGAGAGGCCACAGAACATGTTGAGTTTGGGGTAGCCTTTAGGAGCCCAGCTGGGGATGAGGAGTTGACCTCAGCAATGACCCTGGGACACAACACTGGACTAGTGCTCACTGGCAGGGATTAAAATAGGCTCTGTGCTCAGTCCGTCCTGGTCTCCCGTCATGGCGCCGTTGTTGACAGCTGGGAACCTGGGCCAAGAGTTTCACCCGTCAGTCCTCCGTTATAAACCAGAATTGTAATCCCTGCCTTGCAGGGGTGACCCTGAGAAAAGTGTGGTTTGTAAATTGCAAAGAAATATACCGAGGTCAAAATTATTCTTGAGCTAGGTATGGTGGTGCATACCTTTAATCACAGCCCTCAGGAGGCAGAGGCAGGTGGCTCTCTGTGAGTCTGAGGCCAGCCTGGTCTACAGAGTGAGTTCCAGGACAGCCCGGGCTATGCAGAGATGCCCTGCCCCCTCCCCCTCTCTCATCTGTTCATTTTTGGAGGGTTGGGGGAGATGGCTCAGTGGGTAAAACACTTGGCACATAAACATGAGACCCCGAGTTCAGATTCCCCAAAACCCAGGAACACTGGATATGGTCGTACAGGTTTGTAATCTTGGTGCTCCTGTGATGAGCTGGGAGTTGGAAACAGGAGACTCCTAAGAAGTCTGAGGTCCAGCTAGTCTGCAAATATAGCAGAAGAGTCAAGAGATTCGTCTCAAAAGAGATGGAAGGTGAGGGCTGACAGCGAAGTTAGCCCTTTTCTTTGAGACAAGGTCTTGCCGTATAGCCCTGACTGTCCTGGAACCTGCTGTGTGGACCAGGCTGGCCTGAAATTTGCAGAGATCCGCCTGCCTCTGCCTGAGTGCTGGGATTAAAGGCGTGCGTCGCAGCACCTCACTGAGGTTGACTTCTTGCCTCCACACTCATACTGTGGTATGTGCGTGTGCCTGCACAGAGAAAGAGATATTAGAGAGAGAGAGAGAGAGAGAGAGAGAGAGAGAGAGAGAGAGAGATGAAAACAAAGAATTATTCCTGGAGAAGAGTAGAGCTCTAGCTGGGGTGGGCAGGTGGCAAGCTGCCAAGGAGTTATGTGCAGAGAAAAGTTGGCCAAGCTGAGTAGTCAGAGCTAAAGAGTCGGGGTCAGGCCGCCTGCAGCGGGGGGTGGGGTGAGGTGGGGGTAGGGGTGGGGGGGTGGTTGGGCTTCTGCCAATAGCTGTTGAGAGAGGGCCGTCCGGGGAGTGTGGGACAAGGGAAAGGCCAGAGAACTCAGAAGACGGCTATGTGGTCAGGCAGAGGAGAGGACAGCTTTGGGGGGACCAGGGAGACCGTAACGGTGACCTGGGTTGAGTTGTTGGCTGGAGGGGAGGGCAGGGGCAGGGACCCCCAGTACCATTGACCTCCCTCAGGGACTGACTGCTGGGCTGATCCCCTGGTCCCGGATCCTTGCTCACGGCTGTGATTTCACAGAAACCTGGCCTCGGGAGCAGTGAGGAAGGTGAGGGAGCTGCTGAGTGGAAGGGAGACTTTGGATAGGGCTCCTCAGTGGCATGGGCCATAGTTTTCTTTTGATATTTCCAGACAGGGTTTCTCTGTGTAGTTTTGGTGCCTGTCCTGGAACTAACTCACTCTGTAGACCAGGCTGGCCTCGAACTCACAGAGATCCGCCTGTCTCTGCCTCCCTGGGATTAAAGGTGTGCGCCACCACCTCCGGCACAGGCCATAGTGTTTGAGACCTGGGCAGAGGTGCCTGAGGGCAGCTAGCCCCTCGTCTCCCATCGGGGCATCCCTGCTCCTGGTTTTGTCCTGATGTCCCGACAAAGGATCCTAGAGCTTACCTCCCTCCCGATAGAACCTACCTGTGGAGACTCTGGGCCCAGAACCCAGGATGGACCCAGAATCTGAGGGAGCCTCCCAGGCCCTTTCGGACCCCTCCAAGGCAGAGGACGAAGAACTAGCTGGGACCTTAAATGAAGAAGGTAATGGGGCCTTGTGGGGGATTGGACATAAACGATCCTGTGAGGGGGCCTTCTTTTTTAGTTGGGGGAAGGACTATTTGCTTGCTGGTCTTGGTTTATGAGCTGCCACACTCCACAGTGGTTGGGGCCTGTGGGGGCCAGAAGGCTACTGTGAAGGAAAGTTCAGGGCTGTGGCTTCTTTTTGGGCTTTCTCTTCAGTCACAGGGATGCTTTCCCAAACGGAAGGTTCCCAGAATGCAAGTGCTACTGTGCCCGAGGAGACCGGGGTCAAGGTAAGGTACTTTGCTGGGGCTGGGAAGAGAGTGGGAAGAGCTCTTCTCATAGCCGTATCCCGATCAGGGCACGCTGGGATGTGATGGTCATGGGATGGAGCCTCCCGGAGACACACCCAGCCAGGAAGATTTGCAGGCGACCCCTGGGGCGACAAGCCGGAGACCAGACACACAGGACCTGGAGAGTGAGAGCCCTCCACAGAGCCTGCCCTCCAGTCCCAGAGCAGGTCAGGGCCCTTCTCGCCTCTCGTTTCTCCCCTTTTAGAAAGCATGGGAGGGGGGTGGAGGGAGGGCTCAGCAGTTGGGAGCACTGGCTGCCCTGCCAGAGGACCTGCGTTCGATTCCGGCCCCCGCATGGCAGCTCATGACCCTCTCTAACTCCAGTTCCCGAGGACCTGATGCCCCCTTCCGACCTCCATCGCATGCACACGGTGCACAGACACACAGGCAAAACATTCATACATTTGATAAAGTAAACACCTATCAAAGATTTAATAAATAAGTCGAAAGTGTAGGAGAAGGGGCAGGCCTCACTACTGAGCACATGAAGGGCCCAGGCCCTGAACTTGGCATCTCCTGCTCTCTTTCCTCATCACCACCCCTGAGGACACAGACGCTCAGAGGAGTTAAGAGCTTGAATGGTGGCCTGTATCTGCTTGATTATGTCCTCTCTCCTTACTTCCAGAACAGTGGTTCTCAGCCTTCCCAATGCTGCAGCCCTTTAATACAGTTCCTCATGTTGTGGGGACCCCCAACCATAATTTTTTTTTTGAGACTTGGGTTTCTCTATGTAGCCCTGGCTGTTCTAGAACTCTCTCTGTAGACCAGGCTGGCCTCGGATTTGCCTCTGCCTCCTGAGTGCTGGGATTAAAGGACAGCACCACCACCACCTGGCTATAAAATTATTTCATTGCTACTTCAGAACTGTAATTTCGCTACTGTTATGAACCCTAATGTAAAGATCTGATATGCAGGATATATGATATGCCTGGGCAGAGGTCATTTGACCCCAAAGGGGTTGCAGCCCCCAGCTTGAGAACCGCTGACTTGAACATACCTATACCCTTCATTTCCTTTCCTCCTGCGGGCTACGGACCCACGATGAGGGGAGGCGGGAGGCTCAGACTTTCTGAGAAACTCAGTGAACTGAGCCAGAGAACAGAGTAGAAGGGACCAGAAGGACTCATAACTCAGCAGTTCCGGAAGGAGTTCGGGGGAGACAGATTAGTAAGGGGTGGGCGAGAATGAGGAAAGGTTGCCGGGAGGTGGTGGCGCACACCTTTAATCCCAGCACTCGGGAGGCAGAGCCAGGCGGATCTCTGTGAGTTCGAGGCCAGCCTGGTCTACAGAGTGAGATCCAGGACAGCCAGGGCTACACACAGAGAAGCTCCGTCTCGAAACACCTCCCCCCAACCCACCCCAAAACAAAACAAAAAAAGAAAGAGGGAGAGGCAGGGACATAGTTGGAGGTGCCATTTGAGAAGAGTCTTGACCATAGAGTAGGTCAGGAGAAAACATTCCAAAGCTTTGGCGTCAGCGAAAGAGTGGGCCTAGGCCAAGGTCTGCCCAAGGCAGGGGCAGAGGTAACCGGAGACACACCCTCCCCCTGCCCTCCATCTGTGGAAGATGGCCAGGGAAGGAAGAGGTTGGGGCCCGGGCCATTAGGGGGCAGCTGCCGGAGTCTGACGGAGGTTGGACCTAAGGACTAAGGCAGAGACCATAGGGCCTGTGAAGAGAGTGGATTATGGAGGCTGTGAAGCGGAGAACCGTCCAACCGTCTGATGTGGGGTGGAGGGGGAAGACTGAGGTTAGTCGGGCAGCAGCATGCCTCTCCCTGAACCAGAGGTGGGGCCACACTAGGAAAGATGGATCCTGGAAGGAGCAGGACGCCTTTGGGACGGAAGTGGCTCTAGCCTGGACAGGGCAGTCAGTCAGTACCTAGGCTTAACCGGGCAGTCTTCATGCAACTTCTCCGTGGTCAGGGCTGGGGTTCCCTGTGTCTGCCTTCTCTTTACCACACCCCCGGGTGCTTGTCTCCACTTACCTCACTGCCGGGTCCCCTCCTCTCCCTTCAGTTTGGAAAGACCGCCACTGCTCCAGCAGTGATGAAGACACCGACGTGGATGTAGAGGGTCTGCGGAGACGGAGGGGCCGGGAGCCCGGCCCACCCCAACCCGTGATACCTGTGGACGTGGAGGACCAGGCCAAGGGCGAGGGTGCAGGAGGCGAGCTGGGCATCTCCCTCAACATGTGTCTCCTGGGGACCCTGGTTCTTCTGGGCCTGGGCATCCTCCTGTTCTCTGGTGAGGAGTACTCCTGGCTAGGGCCTCCACTCGGTCCTTTGGCCCCGCCTTGCTGCCCCGGCCTGTCCTTACCTCTCCCTGCTTCCCCGGGAGCCTCCTCAGACTGTTTTCGTCTTCAGGTACGCTTTTGGAGCCTGAGACTGGTGAGTAGGCAGAGGCCCTGGCTTGCTTTCTGTGTTGGTGCTAATGGGAGTCTGTATGGGGAGTGGTCCTCAGGTAAGGTGTTCAGGGTTGCCTATTATTTCCTGGTTGTTGACCTTGTCACCTGTTCAGGGTGACTTTCCTCCCTTTAGCTCAGCAGACCTGTGAGCCTTGGGGTGTGTTCAGGGAGAGGGGTGATGGGCTCTCTGGATCCAGGGACTGGATTCAGAGGCTCACTTACCCACAGGGCCCATGGAGGAAGCAGAGCTGCAGGTCTTTCCCGATACTGAGCCAGAGACTGAGTTGGTGCATACTGTAGGGAACAGGCAGGTATGTATGGGTTCTGTGGGGGTGCCTGGTAGGGAGAAGCTGGGTTGCTTCTGCCGGGGAGGGAGCATGAAGTGGCTGCTCTTCTGCCCTCAGGATGAGCTAGAGCAGCGGCAGGCCTCGGTACCACCGGACAGTAGCCCCAGCCTGCAGAGCATGGGGCTTCTGCTGGACAAGCTGGCCAAGGAGAACCAGGATATCCGGCTGCTGCAGGCCCAGCTGCAGGTGGGCCCTAGCAAGAGGGAGGGAGGGGGTGCATCTGGCCACCTTCACCCGGCATATGTCCTAGTGGGGCTCCCCCAGGAGGAGTTTTCCCTTCTCTTCTGACCCTTGAGCCTCACCTTTACCGAGGTCGGTCGGTCGGTCGGCCGGTCCTCAGGGTGTCTTGGTCTGTTTACCTCCCTCATGCTGAGGGCTGTCGGGGCTGGTGTACTTGTTTACCTGGCCAGTCACCTCTGATTGGTGGCGGTGATCTTCCTGGAGCATTTGAAGAACATGCCACGGCTCGTGCCAAGTGCTGGGCTCAATGGACAGTGCCTGCCTAGATCTGGGAAGTGGACATGAAACCGGGAAGGCTAGACATGGGCTCTGGTGGGTCTAAAAAGTATGTGCTTCTGGAACGCCATAGATGCCGGGATTCGACCGCCTCAGGACCTGGCTCAGGTTAGGGGTGGAGAAGAGGGGGACCCCATCTGGCTGTCCAAGGCGGGCACTGGGGCTCGAGTCCAGGGCCTTGCATACGCTAAGCAGGCTCTCTACCAACAGAACTAGCTCCCGCCCACTCTAATAGAAGAGAATCGGGGTGGAAGGCCTTGTGCTCGCCCTGACAAGGACCCCTGTTTTCTTCTGTCCCTAACTACATTCTAGGCTCAGAAAGAAGAGCTTCAGAGCCTGCTGCACCAGCCCCAAGGGCTGGAGGAGGAGAATGCCCGGCTCCGGGAGGCCCTGCAGCAGGGCAAGACCTCCCACCAGGTCCTAGAGTCAGAACTGCAGCAGCTAAGGGCCCGACTCCAAGGCCTAGAGGCTAACTGTGTCCGGGGCGTCGACGGTGTGTGTCTCAGCTGGGGTGGAGGCCCAGGTGACAGAGCCCCCAAGGGACAGGAGCCAGACCCCAGCTTATCAGAGCAGCAGAAGCGGCTGGAGGCTGAGGCCCAGGCCCTGAGGCAGGAGCTGCAGAGGCAGTGGCGGCTGCTGGGGTCTGTGCATCGTGACCTGCAGAGGGGCTTGCAGAACGCTGGCCGAGGAGCCCCAGCTCGTGCTGGCCTGGCCGAACTTGGCCACATGCTGGCCCAGACTTTGCAGGGCCTGGAGGACTGGGGTCGGGACACGGGCGTTCCTGCCAACGACTCGGGGGCCTGGTACCAGAAGAAGCCCCACTTCCAGAATTCCAGGGAGCGGAGTAGAAGGGAGATGTGGCATGGTGGGCCGAGGGACCAGAAGGCTGAGCACTGGAAGCATAGGAAGGAGGAAGCCGGCCGGGAGAGGAGGAAGAGCTGGAGGGATGAGGACGGGGAACCAGCCGCGGGGTGGAAGGAGGCGGAGAAGCCGAGGGTAGAAGACCTGGGGAACAGAAAAGACGGCAAGCGGCAGGACCCCAAGGCACACCCTACGAAGAGTGGGAACACCCACTCTGGAGAAAGGCAGAAGCGATCTTGGGGGAAAGACAGCGGCCCTGACCCCCTGTCCTCCTGGGAGGAGCTGCTGAGGCGCAGGTACAGGCCCCCTCAGGGCTGCTCAGGGGTAGCCGACTGTGCCCGGCAGGAGGGCCTGGCCTTCTTTGGCACAGAGCTGGCCCCCGTGAGGCAGCAGGAGCTGGCCTCTGTGCTGAGAGCCTACTTGGCGAGGCTGCCCTGGGCTGGGCCACTGACCAAAGTGCTGCCCCTCTCACCCGCCTACTTTGGAGAAGATGGCCTCTTCAGGCATGACCGCCTTCGCTTCCGGGACTTTGTGGATGCCCTGGAGGACAGCCTGGAGGAAGTGGCAATAAAACAGATGGGTGATGACGACGAAGTGGATGACTTTGAGGATTTCATCTTCAGCCACTTCTTTGGAGACAAGGCGCTGAAGAAGAGGTGGGAATCTGGGGGTGGGTGGGCGGGCGGGGTGTTAATAGCTGAGAGGGATTTGGAGGCACTGGGACCCTGAACGGAAGAGGTCTCTAGCTGGAGTCCTCTTCATTTCTGAATCCGAGGCCTTAGAGAAGGCTTCTACGTACATTCCCTGTCTTCCCGTGAAGGACTACAGCAGTCCTGAGGGGTCCCCTTTAGAGCTGGGGCCCCCTTTTCCCACCTTGCCCGTGCCTACAGGGCCCCTTCCGGCCTCCCCCAGTGGGGTCCATCCGGGGAGCCCAGGTCTCTCCCGTCCGCAAGTGGTGGCAGCTGCCTGCCTTGGCTTCCTCCGGAAGAACAGGGCCTTCCCATCTCAGTGGTTCTGTTTCCTAAAGGCCTTGCCCCGCCTCGTGCCCCGTCTCCCCACAGGTCAAAGAAGAAGGAGAAGCACTCCTGGAACCCCAGAGTTGTGGGGCCCAGGGAAGAACATGGCCGCCATTCCCACCACCATGGCTGAGCCCCGCTCCTGCCGCAGCAGGGGGGCCTTGGCAAGCACCCAGCGCAAGGTCCCTGGAATTGACTCTAGAAGCTTTGTTCCCACAGTCCAGTGGGTCCCTCTTGGCTCTTTAGTGCCCTTGAATGTCCTTCACGGAAGACAGCACAGCACTTGACCCTGCACTGGGACCGCTTTGGCTACAAAAAGACCGGAGTGGGTTCTGCTGAACTGTCTATGCAAATACATGCAAACGCTAAAGGTCCTGGGGACTGAGTGTGTAGGGGCCTGCCGGGGGAGCCTGCCTGCCGGGGGAGCCTGCCTGCCGGGGGAGCCTGCCTGCCGGGGGAGCCTGCCTGCCGGGGGAGCCTGCCGGGGCTATTCTGAAGCCAGAGAGCTAGCTGTTCTCCTGTGTTTGCGGCAGCCCCCAGGACCACAACAGAGCCCGCAAGCCTGCACTGGAGCTGCTGGTTGGAGACTTAGCCCCAGACTTGCCCCGGGGTTTTGTTAGCTTTGGAGGCAGCTGTTCCCCAAGCGTGAAGTGTTCTTCTTACCCTGCTTCTCTTGGGGCTTTCGCCTCCCTGCCTGCGCTGCCGCTGGAGGTGGTCTGTCAGTGCAGGGGACAGCGTGCAGTGGCCACTCCGGTGGATGGGCACAACCTAGACCCCACTCTCAGCCCTCCCGCCCTACAGCCCCTCCCCACGCCTAGCCTTGAGCCCAGCCACCAACTGTCACTGTTGCCCCGACTGAACCCCTGTGGAACCCTGGGCTCCCATCCAGGCTGGGTAGCCTCAGGCCAGGTCATTGCGGTATTCTTATCCTCGGAAAGAGGGCTGAGGAGCAGAGTAAATAAAGCTCGGAAGCAAGCGCCCTGCTTCTTCCACACACGACTTGTTCCCTTCTTTGGAGTGTGCTGTGGAGGGTCGGGAACACCCTAGCCTGGTGCCTGGGTCTGTGGAGGGGAGGGAGCCACTAGGTGGCACTCGGGCTCCACATTTCTTCAGACTCTGCCTCCCTCCTGCCCCTCGTTACCACCCCCCATCTCAGACCCCTACCCACTGACCTGCTCTCACCAAGTCCAGAACGCCCCCGGCTGTTCTTTAGGAAGTCCCCCTGAGTGCTAACTTCTATGCCATGGGTAGCGCACTGGGCTTCTAGACTACCCTTGGAAATCTCCCAGGGGGTGTAGGGGCTGAGGCATGCGGGTAGGGCGGCCTACTCAGGCCGGGTCAGTCGGAGTGGAGCAGGCGCTAGAAAGGTGACGGGTCTCTGTTATTTAGCAATACTCTCGCGCTACTGTTGAAGGGAATACTCTCGTGCACTGGCTTCTTTAATTCTGGTGCTAGACAAGACACGTGGAAATGGAACGAGGTTGGCTCGTTCCACAGACATGTGTCAAGTCTGTTGTGTGGGGCTGGAGAGATGGATCAGCTCTGGAGAGCACAGGCTGCTCTTCCAGAGGACCCAGGTTTGATTTCCAGCACCCACATGATGGCTCACCACGGTCTGTAACTCCAGTCCCCAGGGACCCCTGGGTACCACACATAGCATACAGACATACGTGCGAACAAAATGCCCACACATATATTTCTTTAAGTCTACTGTGTATTGTATCAGAACCAGTGAGGTCCTAGGAACGTAGACCCTTTAATATGAATGTAATCTGCAGCAGGAAGAACTTTGGTTAGACTTAAGGAGCCTTACGGGTTGGGAATTTAGCTCAGTGGTAGAGCGCTTTGCCTAGCAAGCGCAAGGCCCTGGGTTCGGTCCTCAGCTAAAAAAAAAAAAAAAAGAAGGAGCCTTACCTTACACAGGTCAGTGATGTAGGCTGGGCCTGCAGGAAGGAGCCTTCCATTTCTAGGATGGTGATTGGATTCCATGCCCCTGTGGACCACTGTCTCTCAGGGGGAAGCCAGCTTTGGTCCTGCGCATGCTGCTCACCTTCGGGTGTTCAAAGACCATCCTGCCTAAACAGCTGAGGTGGCCCTGGTCCTGGGAGAGAGCTCAAGGCCAGAGGCAGGCAGGATCCCTTGTCTCAGGGTGCCGGGCCTAGAGGGGGGGATACACAGGTCTTCTTTGGTCCCCTAGAGGGTTTTGGTGTGGGGCTTTCTGGCCTCTTGTTTCCATGACAAGGGCTTATTTCTGTTGGATGACACATTTGGGAGTCTGGGAGCGCCCTTTGGAGTCCCTTTCTCTTCCTACGCACTCAGGCCTTGAGAAGCTGAGCTGCAGGGTCGGGAACTGCCCAGTTAGGGAGAAAAGAAGAGCCGTTAAGCCAAGCGGCATGAACGTGGTCAATTGGGGCCCCATGGGAGGAGGGCCTCATACCTACCGTGGTTCTGAGGCCTCTCTCGGTCACCTCCACACCCACAGCAACGCTGAAGCGTGACCTCGAGAGCTCCTCTGACCGTGGGGTCCGTGTGTGTGGAGATGAAGAGCTGAGACGGGTGGGCGGCAGTGCGGACCCTGCCCCCTGCCCCCTACCCCCTGCCCC